CTCACTTCCAAATGGTTATACAATTTTGTCAAGTAGACATCATTTTACAAAATTTTCATAGGTTACTAACTGTCTTGGTACTTGCAAAAGCTTTCTACAACCCCACCAAAAAATAAGAGAAAGGGAAAGAAACCCAGTTCCTGAAAAGATGCATGGAAAGCTCATAGGGTTGGAAAAGAAGATGTCTTGGAAAACCACATGGAGCTAAAAGATGATGAATTCATCTAGAGGCACCTCTTACAAAAGGGAAGGTGCTGGACCCTAGGGCTAAGGCTGGTTGTGGTTTCCCTCACAAAATATTGGGACAGATTCTGGGTTGCTACACAAACTATAGACTCCTGGCAAAAATCTTATACCTCCTTTCCTTTGTTCTCCCAAGTTGTAGCCTGAAACATTTTTTGTTTACAGCACATGGGAAGTCTACTTGCCTTTCCTTAGAATAGAAAATTACTTTGTCCTTTTAAACAGTGTTGAAAATTAGCCTTTGATATACTTATTGGAAATGCAGTTGGGAGAAAGCATTGAGGGTGGTGGAAAATATTCTCATCAAACCAAGAAAAACAGATGTAACACTAAGGTGTTTTGCCAGTATACTGTCTCTGGTTGGGAGCTCAGAGCTTTAAAAAATAGAATTACTGATACCTTGATACAACTTCCCAGAGCAGAGAATGAATATTGATTAATACAGAGAAACAGTCACAAGCAGTGATTCAGTAGGAGGATGAAGGGAAAAAATAGAAATATTTCAACAATCCTGGTCACCTTCCAGGTCCCACCCAGCCACCCACAGGCCCATCTACCGAGAGAAAACCCAGGAGATGAGACATAACAGCCATGTTCAAGTATATGCAGGGCTTCCATGCGCAAGAGGAATTGGACTGTTTATGTTTGGCCACAGAGGAGACAGAACTACAAACAATGAATAGAAGTAGGTTTGTCATTATTAAAAAAATTTTTCTAAAAATTAGAGACATCCATAAGTAGCATGGAATGACTTAGAAGATAATGGGATCCTTTTGTTCTGTTTCTTCTCTCACAATATGTTTAATATGATTGCATATGCACATGCATATGTATAACCTATGTTAGATTGCTTACCATCTAGAGGAGTGGGGGTGAGAGGGAAGGAAAAAAGTTTGGAACTTAAAATCTTATAAAAAATAAATGGTGAAAACTATCTTTACATGTAATTGGAAAAAAAAAAGAAAATACTATTTACAGAAAAAGAAGATAATGGGTTCTATATTTGGGGGTCTTCAAGCTGAAGCCCAATGACCACTTATCAAGTATGTCTTAATAGACATTCATCAAGGAGTTGCCTAAATTCCTTCTTGCTCTCAAATTCTATGATTCCAAGAATCTAGGAGTGGCAGTAAAGCAAAGTATACTTCAAATTTCTTCCCCTGTATACTCTTTGCATGTGAGAGTGTCAACAGTAGAATATATATAATCAATACACCAGGCAGTTAACAGTAGAGTGTGAAGCTATGTCTGTTCCATGAGATCCCAAGCCAGATTGACAAAACATTATAAGTCACCACAAACCTTGTAGATAAGATGAATGCAGACTTGCTCTGCCAACTGCTAAAAACCAGAGTTAGAAGACCATCTCTTGAATTTTGTAATTTAAGATAAATTAAGGACAAATTCAACAGATACTCATTAAATTCTTACTGTGGACACTAAGGTCCCAAGTTAGACAATGGAGATACAGAGAAGAAAAACAGCAGAACCTTTGTCCTCAAAGAGTTTGCAGTCTATTAGGGAGATGGGACATATATAAATACAATGCAAGGTGACTAATGAGGAAGTGTATGAGAGGTTACTCAAATGAGCAACCTAAGAGATTAGAGAAGTATCAGTTTTAGGCTAAAGGAGGTGGGAGAAATTGGGGAAAGCATTATGGAAATTGACATTTGACCCAGATCTTTTTTTTTTCCTGTTTTATTTTTTAATAATTTTTTTAAAAAAATTTTTTCCATATGCTTTCGAGTTGAAAATTTTTCTCCCTTTTTCTCCTCCCCACCTTCCCCAAGATGGCACACAATCTGACATAGGCTTTACATTTACATACCCATTAAACATATTTTCACATAAGTGAAGTTGTAAGTAAAAATTAAAACCAATAGGAGGAATCATCAGAAAGATGAAACAAAACTCAACAGAAGGTAAAAATAAATGACAGTGATTCGACTTCCATAGTTCTTTCTTTGGATGTGGACAGTATTTTCCTTCCCGAGGCCTCTGGAGATGTCTTAGGTCCTCCTAATGCTGAGAAGGGTTCAGTTTAACATTCTTAGTCATTGCATATCGTGGCTGCTTATTGTGTACAAAGTCCTCTTGGTTCTGCTCACTTCACTCAGCATCAGACCATATAAGTCTTCCCAGGTTTTTCTGAAGTCTGCCTGTTCATCATTTCTTATAGCACAATAGTATTCCATTACATTCATATACCACAACTTGCTCAGCCATTCCCCAATTGATGGGCATTCTCTCAATTTCCAATTCTTTGCCACCACAAAAAGAGCTGCTATGTATATTTTTGTACATGTGGGTCCTTTTCCCATTTGTTTGATCTCTTTGGGATGTAGCCCTAGAAGTGCTATTGCTGGATCGAAGGGGTATGCACATTTTTGTAGCCCTTTGGGCATAGTTCCAAATTATTCTCCAAAATGGTTGGATCATTTCACAACTCCACCAACAATGAATTAGCGTTCCAATTTTCCCACATCCTCTCCAACATTTATTATTTTCCTGTTTTGTCATGTTGGCCAATCTGATAGGTGTGATGTGGTACCTCAGAGTTGTTTTGATTTGCATTTCTCTAATCAATAACGATTTAGAGCATTTTTTCATATGACTACAGATGGCTTTAATTTCTTCATCTGAGAACTGTCTGTTCATATCCTTTGACCATTTATCAATTGGGGAATGGCTTGTGTTCTTATAAATTTGTCTTAATTCTCTATATATTTTAGAAATGAGGCCTTGACCCAGATCTTGAAGAAGGAAATGGATATCAGTATTGACTAAATATGGAAGGAGTTTTGTTTCAGATACAGGAGCAGGGAAAGATCATGGGGAAAAGAGGAACGTCTAGTATTCCTTTATGCCTGAAGTGCACAAGGACATGAAATCAGTTGAGAAGCATGCTATGAAGCCAGAATGGGGAGGGTCTTGAATATGAGGCTTATGACTTTTTTATGTAATTCAGCCCATAGGAGTCTCAGAGTCAGAAGAGACTTCAGAGATCATCGGGTCCCATCAATACCTGAGCAGGAGTCTTTTCTCCAACATCTCCAACAAGTGTTCAACCAAACAGAATAAGGAAACTCTCTCTACCCCAATCTCCCTTTTGACCATATCTAATTGGTAGGAAGATTACCTTTATATTAAGAATTCTACCTCTGCATTTTCTACCTCCCTCCTCCCATTGTTCCTAGATTTGCTTTTGAGGGACAAGTAGAACAAATCCAATCACTCTTCTCCAAGACAACCCCTCAAATACTTGAAGACAATTTTAAGTCTCTACCAAATCTTTACTTCTCCAGACTAAGCATCCTCTGTGCTTCGGCCAACCCTGGGATATGATCTTGAGGCCCTTTGAGTTCCTACTTGCCCTCTTCTGGACACGTTCCAGTCCATAAATGGCCTTTCTAAAATGTGACTCCTGCCAACATCATGCTCCAGATGTCCATCTCATCATCAATGCACTGTGCATTTGGATTATCACCTCCCTTGTTCTGGACACTATGCTTCTATTAGTGTTGCCTAAATATCTATTTCCCCCCATTAATTTTCTTTCTTTGCTGCTATATCTCATTTGTTGACAACCATGCCCAATACCCATTATCTCCCAAGAAAATAAAAACAGTTAATACATTAAAATATACTCTTTTGGTACATTAAGTAATTTGAATCTCACAAAAGTCCTATGAGGTAGGAAACACATACATAATTTACAGATGAAAAAGCTGAGGGTCATAGTGGTTAAATGAATTGGCTGAGATTATAAAAACTTAATAAGTGGTAGAGCAAGGACTAGACCCCAGATACTCTAATTCCAAGTCAGTCAGGCTATTTCTACAGCTAGAATAATGCCTCGCTTATGGTAAAATCATACTGATGGCAAGTTGACTATTAGTAATAGCATTTATATAGCATTTTAAGGTTTGCAAAGCACTTTACAAATATTATTTCATTTGAACCCAGAGAGGTAAGTGCTATTATTACCTTATTTTACAGAAGAATGAACGGAGGCAGAGAGGTAAAGGGACTTGCCAGGGGTCATACTGCTGGTAAGTTCATGAGAAAGGAGTTGAATTCAGATCTTCCTGACTCCATTCCAGCACTTTAGCCATAGTATCACTTAGCTGCCTTAAGGAACCCAGGATGAAAATCTTTGCTGCCCCTCCCACCACCACTATCCCAAATACCTCATCTTGGGATACCCCTGCTATTACTCTAGAGATTTTCATAAGATTCCTAAGAATTAAAATGGACATTCCCGATAGGGGTGGAGTCTGGGGAGAGGAGAAGAAGCTAAAGAGATTGTCTCATTAAAACTTCAAGTCTCTTTTTCTGGAAGCCTTTCTAGTGAAATCAAAGCGTAACTCCTCCAAAACAAATATGAAGTTCACTAGTTCACTCAACACAAAACCATAATTTTGCAAGCAATAGGAAAGTCTTTCTGGGGCGTTTTGAAATATCTAGGAACGCTGTCCTCTCATTGCACTCTGCAGCATAAAAGTCCCAAAACAAGAGGGAAAGAAAACATTTGCTGAAACCAGAGTCAGGTTTAATTATTGGATTTCTGTGAATAGCTAGCTTTGGTGAGATAGGATGGTGGTGATAGAAAATACCCAGGAACTTCCCACAAGTTTAGTCTTTAGAAGAAAGATCTCGTCAGCATCCTTCTACTAGCCCCTTCTCATTAATGGTTTAGGCGCAGGAGAAAATAGAGGTTTGCGGGAGTGGGAGGAGGGAAATGAGAGAGTTACCTGGAGGTGTCTCAAGCATCAGTTTTTCCTTCTTGGCTTTCTTCTGTTTTAACTCTTTTTTGGCTGGCTTGAGTTTGGGGGGCTGCCGCCTCTCTTCAGGGCGCCCCAGTTCCTCTGCTTCCTCTCTGGGCTGTTCTGTGGTAGTCTCCTCATCGGGTTCCGGGAAGGCATAGTAATGATCTCGGTTCAGGATCTCCTGGATGTAATAATCCTGATCTTCGAGTGTTCTCCCCTCAGCCACTTCCCCGATGAAAGCCAGGCTCAGTACCCAGAAGGCGAGCCCCAGAGGGGATGCCCAAGCGTCCCTTGCCCTCATCATTCTCAAACTCGCCTCCTTTCTCTCTACACTCACTTAAAAAGGCAAAGCAAAGCAAACCAAAACTTTCCCGACGCCCCCCACTAGCCCACCCTGATCCCAAACTCTGCAGGCAGGAAGCGAGGGGTACCAGACTGCCTTGGGAGCCGGGGAAGCCCAAAACTCGCGGCGCGAGGGACGCACTGCGAGCTGGGTCCCGCCGGCGACCAAGGCTCCGATCTGCCCGCTGTGGGACAAGTTTGCGCAAAAGAAGCAGCGGGGAAAGTTGTGAGCAGGACAGCGGGAAGGAGCTGGCTTGGACTGAGACAGAGCCGGCGGGGCATGTGATTCTGGCCTGGGCCAGGCAGGCAGAGGCGCTCACAAGGCGTGGGGAGAGGGGGCGGGGAGGGAGGCTAGGGGCCAGAGGATGGTGAAGGGCGGGGAGGGGCGGGGGGAGCTGGCAGGGGAAAGGGGGAGGGGCAGGGGAGCCAGGCCCAGTGGGGAATGGGGTGGGGCCGTGAGAGTGGGGCGTCCTGGGCAGGTGTGCTGGAGGGGGACGCCCTCGCTGTCTCGGGGCCTTGGCCAACTTCACCTTCCCAATAGCCCAAGGGAGACTCGCACTGAGGCGTAAAATGAAATGAGTTAGAGGAGCCCCCACCTCACGTAAATGAGAGAATGATTGACCCGGCTCTTGGTCTGAAAATTCCCTCTTGCCTGCCACCTAGAAGGCGGGAGTTTCTGGCTGGCACTGGCAAAATGGGAAGAAGAGAGAGTTGGGTTCGTCTGGGGAGTGGAAAGGAGGGAGAAGGAAGAGGTCTGAGGTCAAGGTTGTTCTGCCTACCCCCGCTTCCACACCCTGCCTCTATTCTCCTTCTTCAGAAGCTTGGATTGGCCCAGCTCCACCAGACGATCTGCTCGCTATCCCCATCGCCTTACCAGCCATTCCTGGAAGTGAGCAGAAAAGGGCCAACCTCCTTCCACCGACTGCAGAGACCTAGTCTTGCGCTGTCCTAAGGGAACATCTTAATGAGGCAGATGATAGGGGCCTAGGTGGCTTAAATGAGATTTAAACTTTTGGGGTGCACTGGTAAATGTTTAACAACTTGCTTTGCGCACAACATACTTTTAAGTTTAATCTTGGTTATTAATAATTTCTCTATCACTTTCTTAAGCCTACATAATCAACTAAACAAGCACATATATAAAGCAAGCAAGCAAACTTGAATTTGTACCCTTTGCCTATTTCTGAGATATAAATGTTCACAATGAAAATTTAACGTGCCTGTTAGAGTTGGCTCCAACACATCATATTCTGTAGTTGTATCTTACTGAGTACAAGAATCCTCCTAAGGTATACCAAAACTGAGTTATAAAGAAAAAAGTTGTAATACAATTTGTCTGCATTAGTAATGCTCTTGGATAATGTTTCATTTGGGGTTGCCCAGGCCCCAGCTTGAAGTGCTTTCTCTTTCCTTCTAGTTACTTATATTTTTATGTGCACTATAACTATTTCTAGGACCCCATTAGTACAGAATTGTTGCACAGGGGCCTGTATATTGGTATCATTAATAGCTATATCTTTAGCCCTTTCCTCTATCTTAAGCTCCAGTACTGCTTATAAGACATGTAACAGTCTGGAAAAAATCGTAAGATCAAAAGACGTTGCCCAAAATACGGGCCTTGATACTATCTGTGTGAACTCAAGCAAATCACTGTATATAATAATAATAATAGCCAGCATTTATACAGCACCTAGTATGTTCCAAGTGCTTTACAAATATTATCTTACTTTATCCTCACAACCCCAGGAGATAGATGATATTATCTCCATTTTTCAGTTGAGAAAACTGAAGCAAGCAAAGATTAAGTGGTATGCTCAAGGTCACAAAGCTAGGAAGTGTTTAATGGTGAATTTGAATTCAGGTCTTTTTGACTTCAGGTTAAGTGCTCTACCCACTACACCATATTTCTGCGAGTCTTAGTTTTTGTATCTGTTTAATGAGGGGATTGAACTAGATTAGGGATTCTTAACTTTTCCCCCCTATGCATTATCTACTCCTTTGGCAATCTGATGAAGCCTGTGAACTCTTTCTGGTGGTGGTGGGGAATTATCTAATTCAACCCCTTTGATTTTACACAGGAGGGATCATATAATTATAAACTTGCCCATGCAGTCTTGCACAGTAGTGGACATATCTCATCAGAGCTCCAAATGTACCTATTGCTTCACTCCTTTTAAAAATAAACATTACAAAGAGGGTTTCTACAGTCAGTTCATTTCTTTTCCTCTCACTCTCTTCTTAACACACTCCAATTGGGCTTCTGATCTCATCATCCAACTGAAATGGCTCTCTCCGAAGTTACCAGTGATATCTTTCTTACCAAACGCAATGGTCTTGTCTCTGTTTTCCTCTTTCTTGTTTCTCTGCAGGTTGTGGCGCTGTTGATCATGACTCTCAGGGTTTTCATGATGTTACTCCCTCTTTATTCTCTTTCCACCTCTCTGACTGCTTCTTCTCAGTCACTTTTGCTGGACCTTCATCCAGGTTGCACCCACTAACTGGGGATGACCCACAGGACTATGTCCTGGACACTCTTCTCTTTGTCATCTATTCTGTTTCACTTGGTGAGCTCACCAGATGCCATGGATTCAATTATCTCCATACTGATGATTCTCAGATACATTTATCCAGTCTTAACCTCTTTCCTAATCTCCAGACTCACACATCCAAATGCTTATTGGACATCTCAAATGGGTTGTCCTGTAGACATCTTAAATCAACATGTCAAAAATGGAACTCAACTTTCTCCCCAAGCTTTCCCAACTTCCTAATTTTCCTGTTACTGTCAACACCACCATCCTCCCAATCACGTAGGCTTGCAACCTAGATGGCATCCTGGACTCCTCTCCCTCACTTCCATATCCAATTAGTTGCTAAGTTAGGTCAATTCTGTCTTGATAACATCACATGTGTCTACCTTCTGCTCTCTTCTGACATTGGTCCTAACCCAGGCCCTCACCACTCCATACATATGCTACTGCAACAGCCTGCTGGTTGGTCCCCCCCTCCTCAAATTTCTCCCCTCTCCAGGCAGTCCTCCACTCAGCTATCAAATTGATCTTCCTGAAACAGAGATCTGATCATGCCATCCCCACCCCCCATTCAACTTACCTCCCTATCTTTCTGGCATTCGAAGCTCTTTGTAACCCTTCCTCCTGCTACCTTTTACATTTTCTATACCATATTACCTCCTATCCCCTGCCAATACTTTGTGGTCCAGTGATACTGGCCCCCTTGCTGTTTCTTGCACAAGACACTCCATCTCCAGACTCCCTGGATTTCTATTGGCTGTCTCCTATGGCTGGAATTCTTTCCCTTCTCATCTCCATCTTCTGGTTTCCCTGACTTTCTTCAACACCTAGCTAAAATCCTACCCTCTACACAAAGCCTTTCCTGAGCCTTCTTAATGCTAGTGCTTTCTCTCTGTTGATTATCTCCAATTAATCCTGTGTATATCTTGTTTGTATATAGTTGTCTGTCCATTTAGGTGAGCTCCTTGAGACCCAGGACTGCTTTTCATTTTGCTTGTATCCCCAGTGCCTATCATAGTGCCTGGCACATAGTAAGTATGTAGCAAATGCTTATTGACTGGCTGACTATTATATTGTGATAAAAACCAATAGATTTCATATGAAAAGCCCATCTTATTGATGCTAATATTTTACCTGTTGTTCACCTGTGTTATTATAAGGCAACAACATGATGTGAATGCAATTTCCTCTTAAGAAATAAAAGTGAATTTCACATCGAGAGCAGTGGAGAGGCCCAGGGCTGGTATATAATCAACAAGGACCTCTGAGGGCAAGAGTGAGAGACTAAAAAGTTGTCATCAAGGAATTTTATGATTAGAAGAGAAGATAGACTGGGGATGTACCAAGAAGGATGTTTGAAGAGTAGTGAGCTACAATCCTCCACTTACAACATCAGAGCAAAGTGAGCAAGGAAGGTCTAAAGCATTCTGGATATATGGAAAACTTTTAAGAAGGCTTGGCTCAAGAGTTTAACAGGATGGTCAGGCATGCACGGGTTGTGTCCTGCATCATTGGAGGGAACTCTCGATTTGATGAGATCACAAATCCCATTTGGGTATTTGAGTTTGATTTCTTTGGGCTATGGTGTCCCATAATATTAGCAAGGGATTGTCTCCTTTTAGGCAAAAAATATCCAAGGAAACAGAAGAATGAAGAAAACTTTGCATATCACACCATCTGTTATTAACAATGAGACAGATTTCCTTCCTAATCTGAAACATACAGTTTGTCAAACTGAGCAGATCTTTGTCTTCTATTGGAATATGGGAATGCTTTGTCCACTCACTTGATTTAATAACAACATAACTGCACATCTTGCTGTATGAATTAGTAAAGCATATCTATGACCTTTCAAGTAAAGGAAGCATTCAATATATGGGATCGTCAACCTAGAATATATTGCTATGCTTTTGTTTTTAATATATTGCTATAATGGATGCTGAATTACAATTTTTTTGTTGAAATCTGGGCCAAGTCAATAAAGTTTATTAGTGTGATGATTAAACTAAAGTCATGTGCATTCCCAAGTGCAGGTGGGTATTATACTGATTCTTTTTAGCTCTTCAAAAAATCAGAATCAAAAAGAGAACTGTCCAAGTTATAGCATCCCGTTTTTGAGATAGAAGGGACATCATCTCATCCAACTCCATCAGTTTAACTATGTGGCTTACAGAGGTGAAAGGATGGATACATACATACACACACACAAACACACACACATACACACAATCAGAGCTTGTTAGTGGCTCTCGGCACTAGGCACTTGATTCCCTGGCTATATCTTTTTTCCACTATACTTTATAGGTTAGAATAGAATTATCCTAACTCTAACTCATCTTCAACTCTCATTTAGTTAAGCAAGTTTGCCTCTTAAATATAGAGACTGCCAATCTTTACTTTTTATATACCCAGTGCCTAACAGTTCAAAATATATACTAGGCACTTAATAAACGATGTTGTCTATTGTGTAGGAAAGACATACATTGAAACTGTAAACTACTCTGCAGCAGAATACCTATAATTTTCTATATGATAGCAGTCAGAGATATCTCTCTTTATGTTGACCTCAAACCATTAATGTCCTATTAACATTTTGCTATTTTTTTCAGTTCCAAATTCACTTAATCGTATGGTATTAATGTCAACTCTCTTCATCTTGTCCATAGGGAGAGCATGAGAAATTCTGCCAATTGCTTTGTTGAAATATTGATATACTATGTCTATGGCCTTCTCCTAATCTCCTGGTTTAGTAATCAGTCAGGGAAGGA